GACAAGGATCTGTCGAGAAAACAGGAGAATCAAGGGAGGTTTTCTTCACCCCTGAGAGAAATGTCCTATGGGTTTATGGATGTACAATATAAAAAAAGTCTTGTATAGGTCACGTGATGTGTCACGTGACCGGTCAGCTGATCTTGTCAGTCGTGTTACGACCCCCGACACCTTCACAATAACTTACACCTTCCCCACCTTCCTCCTCCTCCTGCTCCCTTCCTGTTCCCTTCCTGCTCCCCCCCCCCCTTTCCTCCTCCACCTCCTGCTCACCATCTTTAGCTCTGCAGCCTTCCCAGTCGCCTTCGACACAGCAGCGCTGAGCATCCCCAGCCCCCGCTGACCCCAAAGTTTCGCCTTCTGCTTCGTCTTTTCCGCTGCCTGCTCGGCAAGGTTACCACCACACCAGAGGTCCCGCTCCTGCTCCTGCTCCTGCTCCTGCTCCTGCTCCCGCACCTCTTCCTCCTGCTCCTGCTCCTGCTCCTGCTCCTGCTCCCGCTCCCGCTCCCGCTCCCGCTCCCGCTCCCGCTCCCGCTCCTGCTCCTGCTCCTCTTCCTCCTGCTCCTGCTCCTGCTCCTCTTCCTCCTGCTCCTGCTCCTTCCTTCTGCGTCTGCTTCGCTTCCCCCTCCTCAACCTGAGCAACTCGTGGGTCGCTGTACATCGCAATGGCTGCTTCCTTCACCGCGATAATCCCCTCGGTTGCAAGCTCCAGCCCTTCCTGCAGCTCAAGTCATCCTCCTCGTCCTCGTCCTCGTCCTCGTCCTCGTCCTCGTCCTCGTCCTCGTCCTCGACCTCGTCCTCCCCCTTCCCCCAATCCGCCAATTCCTCCATACTCGCCTTCGCCATCTCCGTTGCTGTCGGCGCTCGCTCCGAAAAAGCTTCTCCGCTCTCACTACTCCTACCTGGAGGAGAATCTCAGCATGGCAGGCAGGCGATAGGGGGGAGGAGGAGAAAGGATAAAGAAGATTTGTTGGAAGAAAAGAACAAGAACGTTGGAGAAGAAAGAGGAGGAGAGACGACGACGAGGAGGAGGAAATGGTGAACATGAGAGAAGAGAGGTGCAGACGTTGGAGGAATTCGACCGGAGAAGGAGGGAGGGAGAGAGAGAGGGAGAGAGAGAGGGGAGGAGAAGGAGAGAGGTGGGAGGAGGGGGGAGGGGGGAGGAGAGAAGAAGAAGAAGGAGAAGGAGAGGGAGAGGGAGGGGGAGGGGGTGCAAGCAGTGTGAGGTAGTTGATCACTTGACTGCACGTCAGAGGTGGCCTCTAGGATAAGATCCCCCTCCAGCATCTCCTCCACAGCTCCAGCCGTCTGGAAGTACTGCAGCACAGTGAGCATGCAACACCCTCCCACCTCCCAGGAGCACATGGGCACAAGAGCGAAACCCGCCGTCCAGCACGCAGACTTTGTCCATCCCCTGCGCGATCAGCTTGCTGCAGACAAACGAGACCGTCTCCTCGTCCTGCTTCCCTTCCCCGAGCACACAGACTGGCCTCTTTGCCTCCTTGGCGGCAGCGAGGAGGGTCGAAAGCTCTTGCAGGGCAGCAGCCAGCGCCTCTTGCTGATCTTCAGCTCGGGGAGCGGCTTTGAGGAGGACAGAGCCTTTCAGCCTCCCTGCTTGAAACTCTCCGGCTGTGCGACAGTCGATGACCTGATACGCTTGTCCTCCCACGAGGTGCCCGAGGTCGCCCGGTGAGACGAGAAGGGCAGGGCAGGAGGTAAGTAGAGCATCCTGCTCCACAACATCAACCTGACGTCTTGACTCCACCTCCTCCACCTCCTTCTCCTCTACATCCACCTCCTCCTCTTCCACCACCACCACCACCACCACCACCACCACCACCTCACCTCCTCCTCCTCCTCCCCCTCCTCCTCCTCCCCTCCTTCCTATCCCCCTCTCTTCCCCCTTCCCTTCCCTTCCTTTCCCTTTCCCCGCTACTACACATAACTATCCTACTGCTCCATCTCCTCCTTGCTCCTCGTGCGCCGCTCACCCAGTGTTCGTTCGCCTCATTCTGGATGGTAGCACGATGAACTGTCCTCCGAAAACTTCGGGGCGTAGATGAAGACAATTCTGCTGCCAAATTGACGACCTGCCGGAAGAGCAGTGAGGAGGAGGAGGGGGAGGAGGAGGAGGAGATGGTGGTGAAGAAATAAGGTGGGAGAAGAGGTGGGAGAAAGACGACAGCCAAGTAGGAGGAGAGAGTAGAATGACAAGTGAGGGAAGGGTGAAAGGTAGTGAGAGAGGAGGAGGAGGAGCACAAAGGAAGGATGAAGCAAGTGCAGGTACCTCCTTCACCTCCTCCCGGCTCTTGATCGTGATCTGCCGTAGCTCCACAGCCGCGGCTTCGGCATCGGAGGACAAGAGCTTGTCCTGAGCCCTATAGAGGAGAGCGACGGCGATGAAATAGATCATGATGGGATCGTCGTTGAAGATGATCGTATCCCACAACTTGTGCACTACCTCCATCTCGCACTGGCCCGCAAACAAAGTGACCAGCCACCCGGTGGCATAGAAGTCCGGTCGGATCCCTGCCTCCTCTAGGAAGGCCGAGAGGGCAGGGAGGTGGTAGCGCAGAAGAATCCTGAGGAGCTCCAGGCTCCTCCTGAGCGTCTTGAGGTCATGGCCGCGGAGTGTGTTAGGAAGGAACCTCTGCCAGGGGCCCCGTCACATCCTCATGCCAGAGGGAGGGGAGGGGGTTGGAGAAGGGAGGGGGTCGGAGCAAGGAGGAGGGGCGGGGCTTGGCGAGGGAAAGGGGGAGGGGTTTGAAGGAGGGAAGGAAGCGGGAAGGGGGAGGGGGAGAGAAAGGGGAAGGAGAGGGGAGGAGAAAGGGCAGGGAGAGGAGCCTTGGCAAGGGAGTCGGCGGAGCAAACAACCTGTACGATGGCATAAAAGCAGTTGAAGACCGCGCTCATGTCGAACTGCTCGCCCTCAAGGTCGAGGACGGGAGCCAGGAGCTCGTTCAATCCCTTGCGGCACATCGTCAGACCCTCTGCGCAGCATCGACAGGCTCTGAAGCGACTCAACAGACCTGCGTGTACTTGACGGACCTCCGCTTGCAGTAGATGGTCAACAGAACCTCCATATCCTTCTGCACCTGCGGCCACAGTCAGTCTCGACAGCGAGCAAGTCATCATGGGAGATGTTGAGGAGCAAGACATGATCAGTGGTGTTGGAGGTGAAGCACATGCCTTCTCGGTCTTGAACTTGTCAATGCTCTGCCTTGTACGGTTGACATCAGCACGGATAATCTTATAGGCCGTCAGACTTCAGCTGAGCTCCCTGCTCCCCCACACCTGCTGATCCTCCAGCACAAGATCATCTTCCGCCCAGGCTTGTAGGTTCGCCTTCTTGTTGACAACCCCGAGGAGGATCTGAGATGCTCGTGTGAGATACTACATGGAGGAAAGGATATCTGAGATGAGGGGGAGGAAGAAGTCAAAGGAGGAGTAACATGTTGGAGAGGAGTGACATGTCCAACATGTCAGTTGTTGCTGTTCAGGTCAGTTTCTGACCTGCCATACTCTCCCACGAAGATCCATTGGAATCCCGTGAGATCGGCAAAGATCTCTCACGACCTGAAACACGTATAAGTCAGAGACATTGGTGGAAGTGCGAAGTTCAGCCAAGGGAATGGAAAGAACGTGCCTCCAGCAGCTGAGGGGAGAGCAAGGAAATGGAGGTGAAGAGGGATAGTACAACAGTAGTAGGACGAGGACGAGGACGAGGACGAGGAGGACGTGGAGGAGGTCGAGGCGATCAGCTCGGGATTGCGAGAGTGCAAGGGAGGAGCGAGAGCGGAATGCTGCTGGGTAGGTGTGAGGAAGGTGAGGTCTAGCTGGACTCCAGCTGAGAAGGGGCATGAGCTCAAGAGGTCGGATCACCTCCATGTTCGGCTGATTCTTCGCGCATTCCTCGTAGAGCTCGTCCGCCATGACAGGGACGGAGAGTATGGAAGTGGGGTGGTAGAAGGTAAGGGGTAGAAAGAACAGGAGAGGGTCATGTATAGTACCCCTTTTATCCATGAGTTTGTGTGAAATATAGGGGTATTCTTTAGAATGGGTGGGTCATAGCTGTAGGGGGTTGGGAACATGTGGGGTGGGTTGGATGGGGGAATGGGATCGATAAATGCAGGAATAGAAGGCGTTCAGGGGCAGGGGCAGGGGCAGGGGCAGGAAGAGGAACAGGAGCAGGAGATGCTACCAGTAGCGGAGGAGCATTTTCATCGAGTACAGGCGGCATTGTGATAGTGGAAAGTGAGACTTTCTTAGGCCAACAAGTGTTGTTGGTAGAGCAGATGGACTAAGGCTGGGTAGACCTTGTTATTTGAAAGTGCATCTTTAGACTTGAAGCTGAACCCGGTGGATGAGACATGAGACAAATAGATTGGCGAGGGAAGCCAATGGAACCACTGACTGTTGACGCAGGATTGGTGGTGATAGGTGATACTGGTTGCTGTCACTGGGACCAAAGTCGAAATGAACAGCAACAAGAGAGACGCCGACGAGTGAGTTCAGAGGAGCTGTGTTCCCTCAAGGCTGATATTCAACAGCTCGAACAACACGGAGCCTCCGCTTTCGAGCTTGAGAATGCAGATAACGGCGGCTGAAGAGCAGGTGTTGCAGATACTCGTGTACCGATGTTCACGTTGACCCTTACCTTGACAGCTGGTTGCTAGAGGACCAGAGATCGCAAAACTGATGGAGAGATTGAAGGAAGCGAGTCAGTTCGACCTGAAGGACCTTGTGAGACGATGAGACAGCAGGTTACTTTTAATTTAGCTTGTACAATGACGATGGAGATAAATTAACTCATGACGTAACTGCCTTCACTGAGACAAGACTTGTTTCACGTCCCGCATTTCTCTCTCCTACACACCAACACACGTCAGCTTCGGGTCTAAGAGCAGCAACAGACGTCCTCACCACCCGCCTAAGGCGCTTTTCCTCCACCGCATCCACTCCCTTGAAGACGCCCTGCCAGGACCATCAGCTGTGAGTCGGAACAAGGCGCGCGCTCCGCACATAGAGCCCCCTGGTGTCCGCTTCGATCTTGTTCAACGAGTCCATGGCGCCCCTGTGACCATGTCACGAGCTGCACTTGTCACAACCTTTACATCACCTTGTTGACGACGGCCTCCCACTTGCGAGCTCCCTGGTTGGAACCTGAGGGAGTCAAGCTTGGCTGCCTCCCGGAATCTCCCAGTGGCATCCTTGTACAGTCGGATCGCTTCCTTAGTGTCCACGTGCTGAGCGGCCTTGAGCTCGGCCTTCCCCTGTCCGATGAGCTGATGCCCGATATCCGCCTTGACTCGCTGCAGCTTCAGCTGTGAGACTGACCCAACCTGCTTCGTCCCCATCACGCGAGGATGCTTCGAGTACCCGATCTGACTTCTGTACAGGGTTGGATGTACACCCTTGGATGAGTCGTAGTACACGTCCTGAAACCCGAACCCGGAGTACCCGCCATGGCGCTCATGAAGGGGGAAGGCGTCCATGGAAGGGTGGGTGTCTCCCGAGTTCCAGTGGACTCCTCCCAGTGTCTTGGAGGTTTGCGCCGCCACCAGCGCGTTCCACTTCTGTATCCCAGGCTTCATCTTCTCGGTGAGAGGGTCGCAGTCGTCTTCGGGGAACACCACGATCTGCTCCGGACGACACCCGTGGGCCCGACCTAGCGCCGGTTGAGCTGTGATGCCCAGCCTGTCTTCTGCCTCAGACTTGATCTGAGTCCTGGCCATCCTCTTGGAGTCCTGCTGCTTCGAGATGGGCGACCTGGCCGGATGTCCTGGGTACGGCCATGGGTCTGGATCAGGGTGCGGGTCTGGGATCTCAGGGAAGAGCTGAGTCATTATCTTGGAGTCGGATGCAAGGAGCGCTTCATGCCTTGCCCTCCCATGGCTCGACAATGAGGTCAGAACACCCAGGACACACCCCACAGCCACCAGGGAGGCGACGGTCAGGGCTCGAAAATCTCGACGCGGCATCATCCTTCGGAGATACGTAGCGATGAAACTCGACGGGAAACGATAGAAATGTGTAAAGAGTCTTCCTCTGTGTGGATCTCTCGCTCTCCCTCTATCTATCTCAAAGGTCGAGTGACAGCGTCGGCTCCTGTCCTCTCTCTCGCTCGCGCACGCTCTCTCTCTTCTCGGCCGCTCCTTCCCCAGCTGCTTACACAAGCTTCGCCATGCCGGCCTGAAGAGACAAACAGGAACGGGACCGCATCCCCCCGCTGATCTTTTGGCAAGACCATAGATATTAACTAATTATATTACTCAACCCACATCTTTTTTAAAAAATTAGATTAGCTGGAGCCGTTTAAAAATCGGAGGGACGTAGAAGGCGAAAAAGATGCTGCAGGGAAAAAATGGGGGCGGGTGGAAGCGAAGATGAAGGAGAGGAGGGAGGAGGGAGGAGGGAGGAGGGAGGAGATCAGAAGAAGGTAGAGGATGAACATGAAGGCAGAGAGAGCAAAGAGGGACAACAAGGTTGTTGTAGAGATGAGTGAAGGATGGGTTGGTGGAGCAAGTGGTGGGTGCCTGGGTTGTTGATCGCTTCACAGATGAATACTTGGGTTTATGCCCTTGGCCTCTCTATCCTCGTGTTTCTCGTGTGGGACTGGTTCACACCTCACCTCATCCAGGTACCTTGAGAGCGATGTCTCTGCTCCCTGCTCCTCATTGTTCAACTTTCAGCATGCTAGCAGCGAATCGGATCCGCTATACCAGAAGAGCGTTGCGTTCATGACAAAGTGATCCTGAGCTGTCTTATCTCTATGTACTCCTAACATCTGTTCAGCGATCGGTTTGAGTTTGTCAAGAACCTCGTTCTCAGTCACCCTATCATTTCAAACGAGGTAGAAAAAGCTGTCGTAACCCCGTCTTCGCCCCTGACACTCTCAACAGACGGAGTTCTTGCAGATTTCAGGGCTCAACTCTCGCGTTCAGACATGGGCCAAGGTTGAGCGCTTTCCTAGTGGCTGTCTCAGCTGACTTGAAGTGCAATGAAGGGGAACAGAGCTGGGTTCAGAAAGCTGTGCTACTCCTCGGACCTCCGCTTTCTCTGTGCGGACTTCCTGCAGAAGGAGAAGATTGACGAGACCAACGCGTTTGTCTTGAAGGTTTGCAACGCCTGCTGAGCATGCTTCCTGCCGTCTGACCGCTGCGACCCTCAGGTGTTCATCGGCATGCCCAACGACTACAACATGAGCGCCAGCTACTTCAGCTCCTCGATGTCGCTGCAGGGAACCGAGGACGAGGCTCCCCTCGAAGACAAGCACAACACCTGGGTCCCGTATGCGCACAGCATTCTTGACATCGAGGTTGGGAGGGGGAGCGAGTGAGCGAGGAGGCTGGGGGAGGGAGGGAGCGAAAGGGGATTGCAGTCTGTGGGAAGAGTGGAGAGGCAGGGAGGGGAGGAGGACGAGGAGGACGAGGAGGACGAGGAGGAGTGAGTGAGTGAGTGAGTGAATGTAATGCATCAGGTCCCGAAAGGAATTATTGGGGGGCAGTTGCAGTTGTTCGAGGACGGAGACAGGGACAACAGAGGGGAGAACTATGCCAAGATCAACGCAGTGGCGATCGTAGAGGAGCCAAGACCCAACACCCTGCACAGGCTGCGGGGAGATACGTACTTCAAATGGACGGACTACTCGATGGAGGGGAGTGAAGAAAGCGACGACAACCGACGGCGCATCTCTCTCATCTTCCAGCAATACAAGATCGCGAACGCAAGCTACGCGGAGGTGACGGAGCTGAAGGTGAGAAGGCTGTTGTGGTTGATGTTCATGTTAGTATCGGGTATGATTCATTTTATGTGCATGTCTGCTCTTGATGTACATGTCACCTCTTCAAGCAGTTGGTGTACCTGTGTGTTGTCCGTGTTACACATGTGTGTTGTCAATGTCTGGGCTGCTCTCGAGTTCGTCAGTACCGTCACTGGCGTGCTGAGTTAACTTTCCTTCAGTTGTGGGAGCACAAGGCCAGCTCTGAGAAGCCAGTGTACGCATTCTCCATCGTCTTGTGGTCCTTCATGGGAGTTTTCCTGGGGTAAATCACAATCTTGCTCGCTCCCCGTGTTGTTGTTCTTGACAGACTTGCTTGCAGTGTGATCGTATCCATCCGCAAGCTCAGAGAAGGAAAGATGATGTTGGTTATTGTGAACATCGTCATCGGGATGTCTTGTGGTAAATTTATCGATCCACCTCCTCCACCACCCTC